TGAAAACATCACGAACTAGAACAAAAATAGTTCATCCTAACTTAATCAAAATTGCCCATCGGGCAAACCGACAACACTCGACAACGCGCTAGGGAAAATCTACAAAACGCTAAACAAAGATCCAAGAAATATTATGATCGAAAATTAAATCCTAGAGAATTTAATCAAGGTCAATTCGTATTCTTGCTTAAAGGAAATGTTATAGGTAAATATGATGATCAATACTCAGGACCGTATGAGATTCTGGAAGTTTTGGAAAACGGGAATATGAAACTGAAAACATCACGAACTAGAACAAAAATAGTTCATCCTAACTTAATCAAAATTGCCCATCGGGCAAACCAATAAAATGACAATATCAAATTACATACCCATTTCTCTTACCAGGTTACACGGGAGCAATGGGGACATACAGAAGTGAAATCGAATTTAGGGAACAACTAGATGAACTTTATCTAGAAGCTTTAGTTCACGTACAAGATCAAATGTATAATCTACGAATGGAGTTAATAATTCTTGAGGATCTGGAGAAACGATTAATAATTCAAGTGCAACGTATACTTTTACGACAAAATCTTGAGCATTTGTGGTGGGAAGAATACGATGATTCACCTCTCGACTTATTTTTCTTGCACCGGCTCTTCAGAGAAGATAACGCTGAAATCGAGGAGTACGAAGAAGATGATAACATAGGTTGGATAGATTGGAGAGGTTACGAAGGCAATTGGGATGGAAATTAAAAATAAAATCACACTCGTAGATTTATCAGAAATATATAATAGTTTATTATAAAAAAAAAAGAGAGAACAAATATTCAATATAAAGGGTGTTACTAAATATATGCATCTAGTGGGGATCTCCCAGCCGCATGATCATGCCATGGTGTGGGGTCCCTAGGAGTCATTCAATTGAGGACCTCGGCCCCTGCCGTAATTAGGTACCTCCGCGACCTCGAACCGTTGTTGCAGACGGTAGCATCTTCCATCCGGACCCAGGAAAACATAATCGGGCCCTCCCTTTTTTGCCTCTATAAGGTTCCTAATGATTCTCGCGAAACGAGAGGGGGGCATATTGACCCAGGAAGCTGGGATCCTAACGTCTTGAACCTGTTATAGAAATAAGACGTGGGCAAAATATATTCCTTTTACTAAAATTGTTAGAAACATTATATTATTGGACAGATATTATTGGACACTCACTATTTTTATTAGATTATAAAATAATTAAAGGGTACTTACTGCGTTCATATTAATTCCTTCCATTTTTAGTTTTCCTCTTTCCTTCCTTTTTCCTTTCTAATCGGACAATTCCGCGTTGCGGTTCACAGTCAAATGAGCACTCAAGCAAATTCACGGACCAAGAGACAATGGGTCCCTTAGAAATTTAGTAGATGGGATGCAACGTCACAACCCTTTCGGCCAATCATCTTTTAGGAAGATGTTTAAAATTCTTTGGACAAGAACAACCAATGTTTCAAAATAAAGATAACGGGGGTTACAGCGAATACCCGTTCTATATCATATCTCACTCTGCATGAGGATGTAATATATACCACTCGAGATCCCTTTCACAAACACTAACCTATCTTAAAGTGTCAAATGTTTATCTTCACTGAAAAGTAGTATATTAAATTATTTTAAGGGGGAGAAGCGGGTCAACCAAATTGGATTATTTGATGGCAGTTTCAAAATGCATCACCATCAAGATCTTACTTTTCTCAATTGAGATGGTCCAAGCCCTCATAGCTTACGACTGCAAGGGGAACAATCTCAACATTACTACGTTGTCACTATTAAAAATAGGAGAATGCGACATTCCTCCCGTCCAACCAAAAATCCAAAATGTCGATATACAATCTCTTACAATTGACCGATTTTACTACCACTGAAGTAATACAATGCAAGATAGAAATAGATCGAGATGTGTTACATTGTGGTATGCATTCTCACATTTCTGCAGTCGCCTTAGGGAAAATGCAATATCTACACGAAATTTCACGTGAAGAATGTCATAAAATACATCGAACAAGAGCTTACCACATTTCTTCAAATAATTACATCACAGGATTGTCTTTAAATGGAACATCAACGCGTCCAATAATTTTTGCCGGTACAATCAAAACAGATGGATCTTGCCAGGGTATTCAATATTCCGATCCTTATGGATCATGGTCTGATGTCGTAGTTCAAGGCACAGTTAAAATATCACTATACAATTTCTATGCTATCGTGAAATTAAATGCTAATACCATTAGCATGCCTTCTGGTAAAACATGCACGCTCACAGCTGCAGCTTGTCCAGATGATGAAATGGGAAATTCGTTCTTGACCCCTATACCAAACGACGATTGTCACTATAAACGCTATACAGTACTTTTTGAAGGTAGAGCAACACTTCTCCAAAATAATTCCACTACTGTCAGCCGATACAAGGAAATCTACACATTGAATCAAGAGGACTTCACCTTTGCTTTGGCAAAAAGAGGGGAACGTAAGATCTGTGGTTACACCTTGATTGAAACTGAACATCCAAAGCTTTTCATAGTGGACAGTTAACTACCTTTTTCTAAATCAGCATTCACGAAATCTCTTGAATATTGAACGTAAGAACTTAACCATATTCTGCGTATTTAGAGAGCGATCGTAACAACACATTAACAGCTGTTTCTGCTGCTAAGGCCCACATAGACTCAGGTAAGCCAGAATCCCCCAAAAACTCCTACAACAACAAGTATTGGAAAACGCCTTAGTCTTAGCCGTGGTGGTTCCTGACGAATTCGCAAAGACTATCATGGACCATGCCGGCTACATGGCTGTCGCCGCTGGAGAGGTCATTCACATTATCAAATGCATACCGGTGGAACTAAAAATACGTCACACGACAACTTGTTACCAACAACTGCCTGTGTTGAGAGGAAACAGCAGCTATTTTGTGACTCCGAGAACGCATATGCTATTATCAACCGGAACAGAGATTGATTGTAACGATATTGTCCCACCTATGTATCTAATTAATGACATTTGGTATAAATTCTCTCCACAGCCCAATAGAGCTATGGAACCAATTTATTTAAAACCAGATTCTGAACCTACTTGGGAGTACACTAGCATAGATCTCGCAACCAGCGGAATCTATACAGAACAGGACTTGGAGAAATTACGGGACGATATCATGTTTCCAGCCGAAAAACCAGCTGTTCTGAGCAACGTAGCTCGAGGGTTCACCGGACATGGAACAAGGACGCAAGGAATGTCTATATCGCATTTCCTGAATGAAGAAGTGATCGAGACAATAGCCAGAGACACTTGGGAAAAAACTTGGGGATGGTTTACTGGTTTTGGAACCTTTGGCGACGACGACGACGACGACGACGACGACGACGACGACGACGACGACGACGACGACGACGACGACGACGACGACGACGACGACGACGACGACGACGACGACGACGACGACGACGACGACGACGACGACGACGACGACGACGACGACGACGACGACGACGACGACGATGACGACGACGACGGAACTGAAATAAAATCATCTCGCTCGCCATCTCAATACGCCCTGATCTCGTACACTAATCGTATTGAACTTGGTGGCAATCGCTTCAGAACCTTCAATTCCTATAGTGAATGTATCAATAACTTTTCCTCATATATAGCGGTTCATAAGATATTTTGTTCCAAACACAGGTATAAGGAGTTGACTCGAGTAAAGAGTCTCGGCGCGCTGCGCCCTGTACAGCCGGTTGCCTGTACTTGGCGCGAGACTCGACCGAGTCTCTTGATCAATCAACAGAGCTCTTATTTTCTGTTGTATTGTCTTATTGAATCTCTCGGCTATACCATTCAGTTCTGGAGTGTATGGTGGTGCATAATCGCCCTCGATTTTCTCTTTCTTCATAACATCCGTATATTCTCCTCCAGTAAACTCTCTTGCATTATCTGTCCAGTAACAGATTTTCTCGTTTTTCCCTATTAAGTTTCTCGTGGTACTTATAAAGTTTTCTAAGCTGCTGCCTGCTTCGCTCTTATTTTTGATAGCATATATTTTTGCAAATCTCGAGAAATCATCAACGAAAATTATAATGAATTGAAAGTTACCTGGGAATGAAGTTAAGTTAAATTTACCCATTATATCTACGTGTATAGTATGTAAAGGTCTATCTGCTAAAGTTCTCGTTTCTTTGTGTGGCAGTCTTTCCATTTTTGCACATTTACATATTTCACAATCTAAAATGTTTTCATTAAATGTGATGTCTTTTAAATGCTCGTTTGAACTCTTTAGGTATCTTAAATATTGCAAATTGGGCTGTCCTAATCTAATGTGCCACAGCATTCCCTTATCTAATCTATCTACTTTAATTTCTGGGTTTAATTCAGTTACTTTTATTTTACTTAACTCTTCTAAATTTTCAAGTGAATCTAAATCCCAAATTTTCCTATTTATAGTTCTCGTGTCAATCTCAAAATCTGCAATTTCTATACTCTCTTTGATTTGACTCTTCTCTTTCTCCCTCCCAATCTCTGACAGTATCAAAACATTTGAGGTATTCTCGTTTTCTCCCTCCGACTCTTTTTCATTTAAAACTCTTGATACTGTCTGAGATTGTTCGGCAAAATCAGATCCTGTTATTATTTCTGCATTACAAGTGTATGCAGTGTACTTTGAGTTTGTTATATCTCTGTTTTTAACTATAAAATTTACCCTCCAATTTGGTTTCTCGTATTTTCCTACTGAATAATTTCTCTTGTGACTTTATCGAAAATTTCTAATTTCTCGTTATCTAAGTAAATACCTAAACCTAGATCTGCAAAACGTCTTAAAGATATTAAATTTTCAGAAATATTTTCTGCAACTAATACGTTAGGTAATTTTATCCTACTTTCTTTTGTTTTTAAATACAAGTCTCCTACTCTGTCTATCTCAATATCTGCAGATTGATTTTTATTTGCACTTTTAATGACTCCGTTTGTGCATTTTCTAAAATTGCTTAAAATTAAACTCTTATTTACTATGTGTTCAGTCGCCCCTGAATCCGCTAAAAATGATATTTTATTAAAATTATGAATTACATTTGAATCTTTACCTTTGTTTTTCTGTTGTTTCTATTGTTCTGCGAGTGCTGTTTGTGCTGCTGCAAGTGCTACTTGTGTTAGCTTGTCGTTTCTTTTGGGGCCTCCTCTACCTCTTTTATAAATTCTACCTCTATTGTTACCTCTTTTTGCATTAAACTTCCCTCTGAAATTTCCTCTTTTATTTCCCTGGCCTCTAAATTTTTCCCTATTCATTCCTCCATTCATTCCTCTACCGCTCCCTCTATTCTCATTTTGATTAATATTTTGAGGTTTTACATACCCGGATTGCTCACGGTTCTGGCATCTTCCTCTTTTCTCGTGTATCATGTTACATTTGTAACAGATCCAGTGGCTTTGCGGTATGTTACAATCTCCTTCCCAATGGCCGAACACGCCGCATCTATGACATCGGCTGTCTTTTGGCCTTGCAGTATATGCTTGGGTCTCTCTTTTCTCGTGTGACTCTTTACCGTTACCTCTTGCTGCGTTTTTAAGAGCCTCGATCTGCAATAGAAAGCTTTTAATCTCTCCTATACTAATTTCTCTTTTATTTGATTGTTGAAAAGAGATGCTGTGAGATGTAATCTCCGGCACCGCATCAGTAACAGCTTCAAAGAAAGCAGATCGTTTCTCTTCATCTGTCAGTTGGATTGCTCCTTCACAACCGTCGTATTCAGTTATTATATCTTCGAAACTACGGCAAAAGGATGCCACAGTTTCGCTCTTACTCATTTGTAGTTGATAGAGCCTCTTTCTGACAGATGTGTGAGTCACGTTGCTCTCTATTCTTATGTTTTCTCGTATTTTAGATAACATTTCTTTGGGCTCTTTAATATGCATAACCTCTTTGTAAAATTTATCTCCAACCCTACCTTTTATAATTTGTCTTACTAATTCTTTTCTCTTTGTTCTCGTATTCTCGTTAAGATTGGGTGGCTCTTTGACTTTTTCGTCAATTACGTCAAGTAACTCTTTTGATGAAAGTTCAGAATTTAATTTGTCTAACCAAATATTAATGTCAGTCTTTGAGTTTAAAGTGTATTTTCTATGTACGTTTGAACTATTGTTATTTTTTGATTGGTCTATTGATTCTTTCAAGCTAACAAGGGATTCAGTTAATTTGTCCGTCTGAGTTGCATTTAAGGTTAAACTATTTGGACTGATTATTGACGTATTTAGGGTCGTTTCTAAAATATTGGATTGGTGAGCGGTAGAGTTATGAATTGAAGTTACCTTTTTATTCGCCTCCTCCAACTGTCTGTTCCTCATTTCTAAGTCCTCTCTTAAGGCGTTTGTTTCGGCCTTATTAAGGTCTAGAACTTCCTCGTATTTTCCTCTTATTTCTCTTTCTTTTTCTCTCATGACTCTTTCTCTTTTCTTTCATTTCCTCTTCTTTTTCTCTTAGTTCCTCTCTCAATTTTGTTATTTCATCTTTTTCGGCTTTTTCTTTTAATTTCTTTGCTTCCTCGGCTATTTTCTTTGCTTCTTCCTTTTTTTTTCTATGTCAAATGATGTCCCGGCTTTCGTCATGAGCTCTCCTAGTTTTCGACTCTCCGATGGAAGTGTTGATCCAGCTTTGTAAGCCTCAACGCTTACGTCGCTTTCGGGCTCAGACTCGCTATTCATAGCTTCAGTGTTTTGAGCTGAAGCCTTATCTTTTCCGTCATCGGGTTTTCTCTTCTCGTTATTCATCATGAACTCTTTTCAAGGTTGTTCCTCTTTTATGTTATTTTTCTGAAAAATAAAATTTAATTTTCAATTTTTCCGAGGCTATTAACAAAATAATTTCTAACCATTTCAAATCGCACAGCAAATTCAAAATAATTTGTTAGAATTCGAATGAATTTCTCCCTCGCACTGTATATGCAACACGCACACTCTCCTACACATTTGTTTCCGAGCACAGCAAACGAAAACTTTCGAGGAGAGGCGTACGCGCACGTGCAGTACACACTAGTTGCTTGCTCGAAAAACACCCGACACCGAGCAAATGCTACGCTTGTACTACAAGTTTCGCACAAATTCGATGTATTTTGTTTTACTTTATTTTACTATTCTCTCTTAACTCTTCTCTTCTCTTTGCTCTTTCTGTTGCTATTTATTTTGCAATGAAATAGCCTCTTATCTCTTCTCTTTTTATTTTCTTAGATTTATTATTCTGCTCAAACACTATAATTTTTAATAAACGGAACATTATAATCTACTGAATTATAACATCGAGTTTATTTTAGAAGCAATTCTACATTTCCTTTTTATCTCTTATTAACTATTTATTCTCGTTCTCTTTTAAAGAAAAAAATTGTATCTATTTTTGCTATCTCCATTTATTTCTCTTATAAATTAGAGAAGAAAAAAAAATTGTCTCTTGTTTTCTTTTAGTATGATTTCTAAAAAAAATATACCAAGGAGGGAAAAAAAATGAGCATAGAATTATTCCGAAGTAAGGAGAAAAAAAAATTCACTTTCAAGTGAAAACCGAACAAAAAAATCTCTTCTCGGAATTCTACGCGTGCCTCGTGTTTCCTGCTCTAACCTAGCGCGTATATCTTGTAACAAAAATGTTACTGCAGACTCCCCTCCGCCTCCTGGCTCCGGGTCCCATAGGCCTCGAGTACTGCGTTTTATCTTTAAGTGTTTATTTAGATGTTTTAGCCATTACGTTAAGGATAAGATCCCTTCCCACCACCCCTCCCTCCCCGCCACCATTCCCCTTCCCCCGTAGGGCACTGGCTCGAGGACCAACCACCAGCACCAGCAACAAGGACGTCGTCGTGGACCTGCCACGAGGACCCAGCATCCCTGAACGGACCGCGAGAGCGGCTACGTCGCCGAGGCAGCGGAAGGCAGGGATGGCATGGGCAGGAGGAACACCAGACCGAGTCGCCCGTGGGATGGATGCCACGCCACCACCATCACCACCAATACACGCAGCCCCGGTGCAGTCCCGTCACACGGGCAGGAAAAAGTCCCGTGTGACAGCGGCGGAGCCCTCTCCCTCCGAGACCGCGGACGTGCCCGGGAGAATTTGACAGGCCTGGAGGCCGCCATCTTGACCGGCGCGCGCAGCCAGCACGCGCGCCGACAAAGCCAGCGCCGTGCCGCCGCCACGAGGCCCTGGAAGGCCCGGCAACACAGCCGATTTGAACCCGACCAATGCCCTGCCATGCCGGAACTGCCGACCAATACCGAAGCGCGTAGCCCTCTCAGCTGAGCAGCCCCAGCCAATCAGCGAGGCCCTGGAGGCCCACGAGGGCCAGAAACACCGGAAATCATTTCACTTCGAGCCAGGCGACAGTAGAAAGTGTGCGATTTCGGTTTTCGAGTGCGCTAATTGTTAAGAGAATTGTAGAGTGAGAGTGTGCGAGTGATCCATTGGAATATCAGTGTGAAGAGCGCATTGCGTGAGTACTATTGAGTAATTGCGATCTCCTAGCTACCCCTTCTTCCCTCTCCGCCCTTAGCAATTGAGTCGTAGATTTTGTAGGTCTCTTCAGGACACCACGAGCCGACCCACGTGGTCCGGCATTCTTCTAATTTTTCTTGTAATTGCGACGGGCCTTCCGCCCACCAACTCGAGGCCCGTGGTATATTGCGTGCGCCCTAAGTTTAGTATCGTGCGACCCTCCCCGATAACCCTCAGCCCTTCCCTCCCCTCTCACCCCCTTTTCCCTCTTCGCGTTCCAACCGAGGTAATTTAGTAAGAAGCCATTTTGCGATCGAGAACCTTCTCCCCTGAGACCCCCTCACCTCTCCCTCCGCTAGCCGTGCCATATCCCGTGAAGTAAACAAACGAGGACCATTCAGGGTCACTCGTCGGTGCTACACCGTTACAGTAGCTGGCGCCCAGATATTGTTCCCCTCCGTTCCCCGACCCCCTTCCCATCGAGCCCATTTAAAGCCCTCCGACACCGCGTGCTCCCGAGTGAGTACACGCGTGACCATTTTGATTGCGTCTTATAGCCTATAAGCCTTCTACTTTTGACTATATTTTCTTTTCTTTTCTGTTATTTCTTGTCTGATTTTGGTTTTACGTTTAGTTCTGTACTTCGCTTTATTAATTGTACTTCTTATCTTACACTACCACGTGTTCCCTTCTTTTTGTTCGAGATCCCCTTCCCGCCCGTAATCGAGATAGCTGAATTTGCGAGAACCTGGGCCACTTTCGAGGTCCAGAGCGTCACAAATTTTGGCGCCCAACGTGGGGCCCGATAAAATCAGAAGCCGAGTTACCCTCCTTCTGAGGCTTTCCCCAAAAGTGCTCACCTCGGTACCCCTTCCCTAAGCCCTACCCCTCCGACAAAAATGGATACCGTCACCGCCGGTTTCGGGACGACGTCCACCACAGCGAGTGTCGCCACCTCCGGCCCCTCTGGTAGGACTGCCCCCTCCCCTCTCCCTACCATGATAGCAACCCCGGCTACAACACCTACCCTTGCGGAAAGGGACGCGATGAACGAGGTCCGTGAGAGCCTGGCGGCTCTCCCGGATGACCGTGACATCATACGGCTCTGCGACCATGCCGGCCTGAAGTCGACCGGACGCATAATCTCCTGGACCGTTTCTGGAGGTATGAGGTCCGTCGGCTATACCCCCACCTCCCGATAGCGTGGCATCCGACGGAAGACGAACAAGGACTATCAGCTCCCTTTACCCTTAGCGTCGCCATGACAGACCCTAGCTTTGACGAGTCCAGGCGTACCAACCCTCCGCAAGTAGAAGATCGCGAGTCCCCCGAGCGTCCTCACCCCCCTACTAGCCTAGCTTCCTTCCCTAGACCTCGCGCTCCCTTAGCCACTGGTCAGTCAGTGGACCCATATCGAGATCCCATTAGTTTCGACGAAACGGACGATTTACTCCTACACGAGGACGCCCCTTCCCCTTCTACCCAACGCCCTCCTCTAATACCCCCTCCGGCCCTCGTAGTCACCTTCGCCCCCCCACCCAGCCAAGTATCTCCTCTAGGACGTCTACCTCCCCCTCCGCCCCTTCCCTCCCGTACTCCCCTCCACCCAAGCCTCCCAACCCCTCAGTACGAACCAGAGTGGGCCCCTCACACCACCTATGAACTACCCCCTCGAGCTGCCACGCAGGGCAACAGCACCCGCATCCGCCCTCCTACCCAAATCTCCTCCCGAACACCCTTCGCAACCCGACCCACCCCTGAGGTCCCAACCCAAGCAGACATCTCGTGGAATCGTGACATCCGAGTCCTAGACCATATCCGACGCTTCGGACCAAAATTCGCGGGACGTCGTGGGGACGATGGGGAGGAGTTCCTCCTCCGCCTCCACGAGTATTGTTCAAGCCGCGGATTTACGGAGAACGAGCTGCTGACTGCTCTTGGTATCGCATGGAGAAAGAGCACCTTAGAAGTTACGAGGACTTTGTGCGCCGTTTTAGAGTCCGATTCGGTTGCAGTAACCTCCAAGAACGATTATGACGCGAGGCGGAACAGAGGACCCAAGGCCCCGACGAACTAGCTGGCGAGTACTTGACTAAGATGAGGTCGTACTTTAGTTGCCTGAGCCCCCCCCCCCCCCCC